AAAATATTGATGTCCCCTAACAGATTTCTCATTTTTTGGTTTTGTTTTGTCAAAAACTAAGTATATCAGATCATCTAGTAACTTTCTATGCCATACAAAGATAACCAGAGTCAAAATAAAACTGGGTTTTAAGTTGTGATTAGTCACATTTTGTTGTCAAGCAGAGTACAGTTTCACTCGTCACATCCAAGCCGATTAACTGCCTCATCAATTGACTGAAGAAATCACTTCAGTTACTGACATAAACCTGCTGCAGAGGAAATTAGTCCAGAAGCACACCTGCGACTCATCCATGAGGTCATAGAAGAACCCAGGACAACATCTGAAGCACCGCAAGCCTCCTTCACCTCGGTTAAGGTCAGAGTTTATGATTTAAAAAAGCAGCAGCAGACTGGGCATAAAATGGCACCCAAAGGAGAGCTTAAAGGTTAAAACCACCGCTAACCAAAAAAGAACACAGAGTTCTGGCCCACATTTGCCAAAAACATCCTCCCACAAGCTCATGAAAATGCTGTGTGGATTGAAGAGACAGTTAAGTTGAAGCTATGTTTCATTATTATCACAGTCAAACATGGTGGTGGTCTGAAATTACTGTGTTTTGTAGTTGATGTAACCATTGAATTCGACTCTGTATCAGAAAACCCTGTGGGAGAATGTCCAGACATCAGTTGGTGATCTTAACCTCAACAAAACACTAAGTGAAGATTTTCAAGTGGCCTAGTCCAAGGCTGGGCCTAAATCCAATTGAGATGCTGTGATATGAGGCTAAACAGACCTTGTCACACAAGGGAACCCCAAATCAACTCTGCAAGAAAAGGATGTGGCTAAATTCCTTAAAATGTAAAAGGCTTATTACCAGTAATCCCACTTAATAAGTGGAACAACTAGCTTTTCAGTTTAGCTGCAATCTTTAATAGGATACTTAGAATTGACTCTGTTTTGCCATTTGTACTTTTTGAGATATTTTAGCCTACTTCATGTTGTCGGCAACAAGTGTGCTGATGATGAGGCCAAGGTTTGGCTATAGTGAAATTGAATTTAACTTTCTAAAGAAAATGTAAATGACAGGTAAATGATTTAAAAATCACTGAGAATTTTTTTCTCCACTTAGGGCTCAGTTCAATAACTTTCCCCCCCCTAAATAAATAAAGTTTACAAGATGCTTTTGGTATATACTCAGGCTATTTTTTTTTTTTTTGTCTGACATCAAAACTGGATTTGGTAGATTTAAGTTTGACAAACAAAATAGCCAAACCAGAAGAAATCTGCGAAGGGCACATGTTGAACCAACCTGTCTTCCCCTTTCGCTCTCTTCTATTATTTGCCTCACGCAGACACTGACACACACATGCGCACAATCACACTTCAATTGTGAGCTGTGGGAGCTGTGGGAACGCTGGGCCCCCGGTGCTGGCCGTGCTGAGAGCTGACTGCAGAATACATTACCAGCTGCTTTTAAGAGGGTCTCATTCCAAGAGAATTGGGGGGGTGAGGGGAGAGGTATGAAAAACAGCACAAAACTGGAGAGAAAACAGGAAAAGCAAAGACGAGAGCACATAGACACACACACACAGCCCAACACTCGTGGAGACCCCACCCATTTTAATCCACACATGCACACAAACAAACACACACAGTCACACTTTAATACCCCCACCCCTCTTCTCCTCTCTCGCTATCTCCACTTGTGCTTCTTCCTGTCCAGAGGATTGTCAGCAGCGGTCACATTATGTCCTTTCTCTGTCCGTGATCAGGGGGTTGGGGTTGTAGCCACAGAGCAGGATCAACTCCAAACATGAAGTTCAATATCAGACCTCCCCCCTCCTCTTTCTCCCCTCTCCCACTCCCCAACTTTACAATGAAAGCAGGAAGGGCAGGGAGAGGACGAATGAGCCACCCACTGCTGCATTCACCACTGAAAACCCCCACGTGATTCCACTTTTTTTTTCTCCTTTTTTCTGCGTGTGAAACTTTTTACATGAGACTTTAAAGGGAATTTTCGCTCTCAAACTCAGAAGCATGAGGATTGAACTGTACAAAAAAAAGGGGGCTTAAAGATGAGCTCAAGCAAATGTAAGTCAACAAGACATGTGTAGGGTGTTAAAGCTTAGTTTTTCCCGAGGCTTTAGGGACAGACTCTGATCCCGTCTAATATTTACTTTTGCAGATGTTCGAGGGCGAGCTTGCACTATCAATTTTCCTTCAATTCCCCGGTCAGCTCGGCCTTCAAACCTGCATCTCCCCTCCCCTTCGTTTTTCTGTTAAACATGTGCATGCCTGTGAGAAACCATGGTGAGTTGGGTGTTTTCTTCTCTCTTATTACTCACTTGGATGTGTGTGTGTGTGTGTGTGTGTGTGATGTCCACTTGAATTGCACAGGAAGAAAAAAAAAAAACAGAAAAGGAGAAGTGGGAAAAAACACAGTTTGGCCTTTTCCCTGCATTTTGGCTAAAGAGTCCACTTGGTGTTTTTTTTTTTTTTTTTAATCCTCTGTGAATCTAAAGAGTTTTTGGCGATTAGTATGCAGAAAGGAAGCTGTTTTGCATAATTAAGTGCTACAGAGAAGAAGCAACAAAGTTTGTTAGTTTTACATCTAAGAGTTTAATACTTGAACAAATAGTTATTCCTCAGATAAAAGTTAAAAGATCATCATTCAGCACATGTTTTTTTTAAACCGTCTTAGACACACTTTTTATTCTTTAAAAAGGAGGCAGAGACAGATACCATTAAAGTGGTTAATAATCACAGAAGTGGTAACAGTTAGTAACCTAAACTTGGCACCAAAGAGTAGATTAATGTTGTACTACACTGTTAATTGTCACACTCGTTGTCGTATACAAAAAAAAAGGCACAAAGGGCAAGCAATGCTGATCTCATAGGCTCAAAAAAGTTAAAACAGAGAACTCCAGTTTATCAGGAAATAAGTATTACTGATGGCACATGAAGGATAGTTTGACCTTAAACTGATTCTTTATCCATAATAAGGCATAATTTCTCTTATCTGAAAATGTTATTTAATGTTTTTTTTTTTTTTGGTGTACAAAATAGAATATAAAAATACAAATATTGGTACAGAAGATATGACTGCATGGTTTTCTTTCATTTGAAGGCATCACTTGGTTTGAATGTGTGAAAGTAAAATTTCGCTTCTGGACAAAAGGCAGATACACATGAAAAACAAGAAGATAAAAATAACAAGCAACACAAAAAACAAAGATAAATTTAACACTGTTCTTGTTTTAAAGATGCTTTTTAGTTGCTGCATCATTACTTTAGCTCATACTTCAGACTGCAAACAAAAGTATTGGCACCCCTACTGAAAAACAGATGTAAAATATATTTTAAAGTAAATCATTTTCATTTATTATCTCTTAATGGAAATTGCAGAAAGCTCCACTCTTTATCTTCAGTATATTCAGTCAGTGGGGAAAAGTCTAATGTTAAAAAAAATGTGGCCTCCCCTTTTTTTTGTTTTTTGCAGACACAGTTTAGTTTCTAAATTGAAACTTTTAATTCATAACCCCATTTAATATTCTAATAGAGTTCAAACCTGACATGACCCAGACTTAATTCTCTTCAGAATGAGAGAGAAAAAAGAACATTCTGTTCAAATGAATCAGATGAGCCATTTTGAGGTTTACCAAGTCTCCATAAAAAAAGAAAAGATTAAAGATGTGTGAGACTTTAAATGGAGCTGTGATCAGACAACGCTCAGGACAAACTTTTTGTAACAAACTGGGTGCAAGGCATTGCAAAAATTTTTAAATAAAGATTTGATAGATTATATATGCTGTATATAATCCAAAGCATATCGTCAGATCAACACACTGGACCATAGAAGCAAATAAAAAGTATTAAGAATGCAGTAAGAATAGATTACTTTTTCTCCCTCTGAAAAAATTTACTTAACTTAAATGATGAAACAATCAAACATGTTCACTGTTATGATACTGCAATACTGATAAATATATTCAAAAGGTTCGTATGCATCTTTGCAAAGGGTGCAAACAAATTTGTACGCTTCTTATTTTGGCACAAAAAAAAGGGAAACAATAAAAATGCAGATTCATATTCCCTACATTCGTAACTCACCAAAATGAACCCCAAATGATATAATTTGGGGTTGGGCACAGAGCTGGTATGGGGGGCCAAAAGTGGCAAAATCAAATAGGTTGATAGAAAACTGTGAAAATTTCAATAAAATTGGAAATTATTATATGTAGTAAGTATATGAATGATTAAAATTACGTAAATGTGTCAATCTAACTCAAAACTCATAGACAAAATTATTTTCATTATTCATTAAAGTATTTTATAAGAGCTGTACTACATTTCATCACTGAATAAGTGCGGCCCAACAAGTAGCCACTAACATCAGGAGATTGGCTAAACAGTAGCGTAACTCCAAATCAGTTGCCTTGTTTTTAGCTGCATTAGATTTTTATGGGTGAGGATGCCAGAGTAAGATTAATCATGTATTTCATCACTTGTGAATTTAAGATATAACAAATTAAAATTTTAAATTTTTTCCCAATTTTTATTTCAATTCTATACTTTTTAAAGTTACAGTTTATTTCCTGGATTTCAAATTTTATTGAAATAATCACATCTATGACTGGTTTTATATATTTTTAACTATTATTCATTATTATTATTATTATTATTATTATTAGTATTATTATTATGCATTATGACAGTTTTGGCCCTCTGTACTGCATCAAGACGTTTCAATTCAAATAAAAGAAGAGATTTATGTGCAACATTGTTCCTTCACTCTCAATAAATAAAGGCACTGTTGTTCAAGGCCGTACAATACTGTAGTGTGGAAAAAAGGCGAAGGCATCATTGTGAAAGGGACTCGGACAGAACTTTCCTTTTCTGTTTGTGGGTGTGGGTTTGTGTCTGGACCGCAGGATCTGGCATTTAGGAGACCATTTTTCCTTGCAGGGCACCTGTCACTTTACAGTGGAAAGGGTCCTGTGCTGGCATTTTCCTTTCCTGAATGATGGCTTTGTCGGGTGTCAAGATAGATTTTTGTTTTGTTAACATATGCGTGTTTTAACACCGTTGTAAATGTTACGTTGCAGTTAAAACTCGCTGAAAAGAAGCACTCACTAAGGGGAGAAACGCAATAAAATCTTAACACATGTCCCACAGTTTAGTGTGTATGGAGGGTTTTTTTTGTGCTGATAAGTAACACCGGTATCAGTATAGTTACCATGTTATTAATAGTCATTATTGCATGGCATGGCAGCACAGCGGGGATAGGAATCAGTTTAGAAAGCCCTTCTCCAGTTTGGGGCCCACCCCCCTTGTAAAGTCAAACAGCTGTCACAGATTGTAATTTTGATATTCAGAGAAGATTCTTAGACTGGCTTTGGGATTTTAGAAGGAAGGCACGTTTGGTAAAGTGATGGGAAAGGGGCAGTGGGGTGGGGTCCTGAGGTTTATTCCCGGGATCGCTGTCATCTGGTTGGCTGGTTTAGATAGAGGCAGCAGCAGCAGCCGGCTTGTTCCCAATGTTCTGGTCTCTTGTTGGCTGAGCCACGGGCCAATGAGCACGCCAGCGAGCAGAGATGGGTGGGTCATCAGTGGGCGGAAAGGTCAGAAGGTCAAGGGGCGGGGCGGAGGGGGTGGGGTCATGGGTTAGTTGCCGTGGCAGCTAGAGTTAGACGGACAGAGACGGACAGACGAGGAAAGGAAACAAAAAGGGCACATAAAAGGGGGGGACATAAAAAGAAAAAAAGATAGAAGAGAGATTAGTGTCAGCTAGTGGCGTCGGGATGACAACAAGGCAGATCTAGTGCAGTCCGCGCAGCGTGAGGGTCGTTACAAAACGCCTTCATGAGCACCGCAGAACCATTCACAAAGACTCGCATCAACCCTGGCGTGTTGACACAAGGAATGGCTGGTTAGAGAGGCTCCCATGTGCTCATGGAGGCATCTGCAGGGTTTCCCCTCCTGCTGGCCAGACTGCTGCTATAGTGACACTACTCATGCTAGCTGGGCTACGTCTAGCACAGACAGACAGTGAAACCATGGACAAGAGAGGGAGGCAGCATGGTTTCATGTGGGTGAGAGAGTGACCTTTATGTCCAAAGAAAAGTTCTCCAGGCCTTTCACTCACTGACAAGTAGAGCTATTGTTTAGAGCAGCAGGAGTCAGATTTGGATGATTAAGAGTTGTGATTAACTGATTATTGGTTTACAGGTCCATCTCAATAAATTAGAATATCAATGAAAGGGTAGTTTATTTCAGTAATTTAGTTCAAAATAGGTTTAATGCACACACACAGAGAGAGAGAGATATTTCAAGCATTTGGTTAATTTTGATGATGATTATGGCTTACAGTTAATGAAAACCCAAAAGTTCATTTTCTCAGAATATTATATTGTCCAAATAATCATGGACTTGATAGTTGTCCAGCAGACAGTCACTGAAATCACAAAAAACTCTTTGAGTGTTGTTTCCAAGTGTACTGGTGGAAAGTTTAGTGGAAGGGAAAAGTATGGGGGGGGGGGGGGGGGGGGGAAATACAGAAGCAACAGCGGCAGCCTTCAGAAGATTGTGAACTGCAGTTGGAGTCTATGCTTCAAGACCCGGCATTGCATTCCTAATGTTAAAACCACACTTGCACCAAGTAAAAAGCTTCAGATGAAAGTCAGTCTTGTAATTTAATTTGGAAATCCATTTCCCGAAGTCTGGAGGAAGAGTAGAAAGGCAAAGAATCCAAACTGCATGAAGTCCAGCACGACGTTCCCACAGTCAGTGGGAAAACGTGATCAGTGGTTCATGCAAAAGGAGCCCCATGTTGAGACACAGTATGCTGCAGGCTTTTCAGCAGACTAACATTTCTGTATTAAAAATCGTCTTTTAATTGGCTTTATGCTATGCCTCCTTCTTTTCAGAGGGAGCGCGTTTTTGGTTTTCATTCGCTGTAAGCCATAATCATTCCAACACCTGAAATATATCACTCTGTATGTAACGAATCTATAAAACAATGTATGAGTTTCAGTTTTTGAATTGAATTACTGAAATAAATCAAGTTATCAGGGACACTCTACTGTACTGAGGTGTACCTGTATTGACTATGAAGTATTAGAGCAGCACCTAGTGCAGTAAAGACAGTGATGAGAGGTTAACAGATGACTTTAGAAGGACTTGAGGAACAATTTAACAATAAACAGGCTAAACTACAAGAATTTCCAGGCTTTGGTTTGCTTTGGAGATTTATTTCAATACTCATCTTTATTGCCTTTTAGTGTTTTTTTTTGTCCATCGTATACAATAGGAGCACCACTGCTCGCACACACACACACACACACATATATATATATATATCTATATATATATAAATATATATATATCGTAGCTAGCTAATCCATTTCTCCATTTCTATTGCATATAACAGTCTGGAGGCCTGCGAAATCAAGAAGGTCACCTCATCTTAAATACACAGAGAAAAACACTGCCTTCATTGCCACCTTCGCGGTGACTAAAACAGTAGTAGCTACACACTTTGAATACAGTTTACATGGAGACACTTCATCTATAAAAAGCATATCATAAAACAAAACGAAAAAAAAATTTACAAACTAAAAGAAAACTACAGGTATTTCCAGGCGATCTTGTTCCGTAAGCTTCATATAAGCACTTAAATCCTTAAAATCCCTATATACAAATTTATTTTTGCAGCTAAATACATGGTAACAGCACCACTCTGGCTAGGAAATAAATGAAAGATGTAAACAGTCCCAATGATAAAGTCCAGTGGGCGACTGATAAGACCACAAGCAACAGTATTTCATACAAAAGAGCTCGTAACACAGACTTCAGTAGTTATCACACGCTGTGTTTTCTCATATTTTACTTTAACCGTCATGTAAGAATTGGGAATTACACAGGATTTAATTCATTATATATATAGATATAAAAACAACTAAAATCTGTGGAAATCTAGTGGAATGAAGTTGAGTATAAATAAAAGTTTCCACAGTGTTTACTTGATCAGAAGTAGTACTTAGGAGGAGAAATGTAACGTTTTCAGAGAGACGACTCAGAGGAGTCACAAGGGCCGAGTCACATGAGCGGGCCCCGGCCCTGCGAGCTGTCCGGTTTGGGCAGACAGGCGAGCAGTTGTCACCTCCGCAATCCCATCACACATTTCACTTTCACACTTTACGCCTGCTGCGATTTCATCTTTTTCTTTTAAGGCATGCCGTATTAAAGACTCATGTAAACTCGAATTGGTCCATTGGTCTGCATGCACACACACTAACACACACATATACACATAGAGTGGCTGGTGAGCTAACTAACCTCTGTCTGTGGTCACTACCCTTTGGTAAGGATGGATTCTCTTGTCGTGGCGTCGTACCTTAGTGGTCATGGCACCTGCTAACAGCCATTGATATTTCCCCCAAAAACAAAACACAGAAGGGTTACTCATCAGAAAGACAACAGACAGTCCCACCCAAGGCACCAACGTCAGTGACACCAAGAATTTACAAGTTCTTGAGTCTGAGGGTGAAAAAGGGTGAAAAAAAAAAAATATATATATATATATTGCCTCTAAAAGAGAATCTTTTGTTGTTTTGTGGTCTTCTGCTCCCTAAAGAAAATATTAATCCAAACTGCTAGTTTTCAACTAACCTTAACTAGTAGATTCAAAATCAGCTTTAAGCAAAAGTCACATTTATAGCTCTGTGATCAAAACAAGCTTTTACCATATGTTAAATCGCAAACAGCAGCTCTAAAACATCTACAGGTTCACTAAAATGTGTTAAAAATTACAAGCGGAAGCTGAATTATTATAAAAAGGTAAGTAGTTGTCACACCACAATGCTAGATTGCTAATACAAACATAGGGAAATTAACAGGAATCTCTCATCCTAAAGTAGAAACAAACTGACTGTCTGTTCTGCGGGATAACTATATGTGTTTGTGTGGGGTGAATGGTGGTGAAGGGTGTGTGGGTGGGGGGGGGGGGGGGGGGGGCGGGGGGGGGTGGGGGGGGTCTCTGCAAGCCAGTCCAGGTGTGTGCTAGGAAGGGATTGCTATCGCTTAGCCTTTGGTTGGGAATGCCATACCTGCAAAAACACAGGGAGAAGGGACTGTTAGCCCAGCAATGAGCCTCAGCAGGTTTCTGTGTGTGATGTGGATGTATTACAAGAACTGGACATGGCAGCCAATCGGTGCCAGAGGCGAAAATGTTCAGTTCCCAATTCTGATACAAAACCAAGACCAAGAGGAAAGAAATAAGAGAAAGATAAAGTAATTTGTTTGATGCTCTTGAGTGCCCAACACAAAGTTTTTTGGCATCCATGGTAAAGATGTCAAAAAGTTTAAAATTAATTTCAGAATTTTTTTTTTTTTATATCCAATTACTAATATGAGAACTTTGCTCCCCAAACATTTAAAATAAACATATTTTATGTTGGCTTTAGGGCAACTGACCTGCGGTACACAGCAACAGGTTGGGGAGGGTGTGCGTGGCACTGCAGCTAGAGATAATTTTGGTTTATCTCAGGTGTATTGGATAAAATATTGGAATGTTTTATCATAGAAATGAGCATCTATTCTGTCATTAATTTGGGAAAAAATTATGAACATAATAAGGGCTGTGTTTTAACACAATAACATTAAACTCTTATTGATGATGTGTGCAAACCTGAAAAACCGTAAGTATGGCTGGAATTGTTTCTTTTACTGTTTTTAACTTTTTAACTTAGTTTAGTGAGAGCGTGAATATTATCAATATGACTCCAGGCAGTTATTGTGCAGCTATAGCTATCGTGGTACACCTGCATTTATTAATGTAACTGGTGTGCTAAAGTAGCATGTCTGATAATGTGTGAATAGATTTTTAAAAGCAGTATTTGTGTTTGTACGGGTATAAACTCTGCCGTTTATTCAGGTCATGGCTTACAGAATGTTTCGTATTTATGTAATACATGAGAAGCAAAAGGAAAAAGAAGCAACAGAAAGATTTTACTATATTTCTATTGATCGGAGAGTTTAGTAAGAAGCTCAAAGCTACAAGTGCTCCAGCTTGGAGCACTCTACATAGTGCTCCAACTATGTAGAGCTCCAACTCTACATAGTTGGAGCTCTGACTATCTGTTAATACAAACTGCTTTCATTGGAGTCCAGTGTCCAGTTCTCGTAATACATCCATTGACTATGTATGAAAGTGATAGACTGTTGATTGGTATGTACCTAATACTCCAGTTGAGTCAATCGGGTATTCCAATATGGAGGGCGTGAGTGTGTAGGGATACTCGTAAGGCGTGTAGATGATTCCAGATTCGGGTCCTTGCTGCACCAGTGCTGGATGCGGATTGGCTCCCGGCACGAGGGCGGAGCTTTGGATCTGACGGATCAGAGGCATGATGGTGGGCGTGGTCACCGGGGCGGGGTTCCGCAGGGTGGGAGGCAGGACGGGTGTTGGGCCTGTGATGATCCGAGGCGCCTGAGGGGTCGCTAGCGGGAAGGCGGCAGTGGCTGCGCGGCGAAGCAAACGTACAATAATGCAAGTGTGCACACACCCACATGAGCGCACATACAATAGACAGGGAAGAAGAGGAGAGCACAAACAGTCTATTTAACAAGGGGAACAGAGGCATTGTTCATATTACAGTCAAGTCCTGTACTGAGACCCTTCCTTTGTCACCCACTCACCCTCCTCCACATGTTAACTATGAGGTCATGCTTACGTGTCTTGACATTGGCGTCTCTGTAGGTCCCATTGAGAATGGCCAGCTCCATCAGCTGCATTTTCTTCAGGTTGTCCTCCCCCTCAGCCTGCAGCGGCACAGGCAAACAGAAAAGCACAATCAGATCACAGTGACGACTGACGCTCAAAGGCAAATGAAGAAAATGTTGTCAGAAAAAGTCTGGAAGTTATACAGGGTGCTGGGATTTGGACTAGTATTTTGAGGTATATCAAAGTTTCAAAAGTTTTGAGATCAAAGTTCAAAGTGCAAAAAGTAGAGCATTAAAAATTAGCTTGTAAAACGATGCCAGCATTTCTTGTCAGAGCAACTATTATATTTATAAGTTGTGATATATAGGTACATTTAAATAAATTTCATTAAAAAGTCAATTGATGGACTGTACAGTTGTCATTTTTTGTTGTTTGCAACAATAAAGTCCTAAATTTCTACCGGGGGCTACACATCCTCTCCCCTAATATTTCTAAACCCCCTCTAATGAAAGAAACTAAATTATTCAAAAAATGTTGAATACAGCACAAATATTGTCATATGTTATTTGGTTACTTTGGTTAATTTGGACAATTATGGCTTACTTGGAATAAAAGTCCAATATTTGTACATGAAAACAACAAAAAATCATTTTCAAGACACCATCATGGAGAAGACCATTGACTTCACAGGTATCCAGCAGACAGTCCAATGAACCCTCCATAAGGAAGGCGGGACACAAATGTCATTGCTGAAGAAGCTGCCTGTTCATGAAGTTCTATATCCAAGGATGTTAAAAGAAAGTTGAGTGGAAGGAAAAAGTGAGGTTAAAACAAGGGGACAAAGGTTACAAGGATTATCACAGGTTTGAGAGGATTATGAAGCCAAGCTCATTTAAGATTTTGAGAAATATTCACAAGGTATGGACAGCAGTGTTTAGAGACACCACAGACAATATCCAGGACATGGGCTACTGCTGATGGATTCCTTGCGTTAAGCCACCCTTCAAACCACAACAACGTCAAACGCTTCGTACATGGACGAGAGAAAACAGAAACTGGACTGCTGTCCAGTAGCCAAAACTCTCCTTTTGAGATAAAATTAAATGTATCATTTCATTTGAAAATCACGGTGCGAGAGACTGTAGGAAGAATAAAGAGGACAATGAGGAAAAAATGAGGTACAGTAATAAGTTTCCAGTACTGCTCACCGTGTCTATCCCTGTTAGAACCGTAGTACCCTTCTTCTGATGCCTACGTCCAAGCAGGGTAATACCCCATGCCGCAAAGCTCATATCATCTCAACCTATTTTTTTTTAACATCACAACGAGTTTAGTCTAGCCCAAAGTCCTCCAAAGTCACTGGATCTCAGTCCAGCAGTTTAAAATAATGTTTGAGTATAATGACATCTACAATACCACATTAAACCTAATAAAGATACAAATATGAAAATCAAGTAAATCAGTCAAAACTCTCCACTGCTTCTTACAGTGGAGAGAAGAATTTGGCTGAATGAGCAAATGACAACCCAAATCAATTGAACTTTGCCCTTTGCAGCCAGTATCTCCAACTAGATGGGTAAAGAACAAAAATCCCTCCCCCAAGGATGATTACAACAGGATGCTATCATATTATCTGCAAAACTAAACTATGTTGTCAACAAACCATTTTTATCTATGTTAAAATCATCAAGTCGTCTTATAAAGTACACTGCAGTTTGTTCTTGTAGATTGCAGTTGAGTTAAGGTAGAAGCTAAAACGCTTGTTCACCACAGTACACAACCAATTATAGTGCTGCTTGATTCAGTCAGATCCAGCTAGAAACCCAGAAATCCTAATGCCCAAAATGCCCCAAAACACTCTCTTGATGATTCTGAAGATCCCACTGTGTTCTCAGATGAGACAACATATATTCTCATCATTAAGTTATAGATTTGCCAAATATTTTCTCCCTCTGGGACATGCAACACCCAGTCACCCAGGAGCTATCCTGGCCTTGATGCCTGAACCCCTCAGCTGTTTGCTTTCAGTGTTTCTGGCTCTACTCTATGAGGAGGAAGCTCTATACAGGAAGTTGATTTTACAGGCTTGTGTTGGGACTTTATCTTTTCAGTTATGATCTATATCTCATAAACATAGACAAGGAATGGGTACTCTTCAGAGACTATTTTTGGCTGCGCTCTTTCTTCAGCACCACAGACCAATGCAGTGCCAATATTACTACAGACGGAGCCCCGATACATCTATCCATCTCCCCCTCCATCCTGACATCCCATGTAAAAAAGTCACAAGGACACTTGAATTCTTTCACTTGAGGCAGAAATGGGTCCTCAACTTGTATGGAGCAGTTCACTCTTTTCTGGTTGACAGTCATGGCCTCAGAGGAACAGACTTCCATGTTAATAGACAGAACTCTCTGAGGAACATTTTGACACCTTGTTGAATCTATGCCAAGGAGGATCAGGGCAGTTCAAAAGCAATGAAGGGTTCTGGCAAAGTGTATTGAACAAAGTAATTGTTTCTTGTAGGTTACTTTATAAGGCTTTGAGTAAAAACTCTGATTCTGTGAAAGTGCGTTTTTTGTTGAAGGTCACCACACCATGAGGTTCTCCTACCCGCATTAAAGTCAGTCACAAAACAAATCGCAGATCATTTGAAGCGGACTTGTCCGGAGCTCGAATCCAACCACCTCACCACACAGGACATATTCAGTGTCAAACACGCTTGCTTCTTAGCTCTAGTTACAGCCCAGTGAAAAGCTTGACTGATTTACATTCTGAGCGAAAGGTCAGCTGGGTTAAACTAACACATATCATTGACTTTGCTCACTGCTCATACAGACACACACATGCACAAACACGGATTAACAGGTGCTCAGCTCCTGACGGCCTATAGACTGTGAGGGTTGCCTATCCTGCGAGGGAACTGGAAGTGACAGCTAATTGTTGCAACAGAAGCCCACCCCACTGGTCCTTTCAGCCTCTCTCTATTGTCGTGAATAATGAAGAGACGAAAAAGGAAGGAGTCTTGTGATTACGAAATATCTGTTTTTCTTCGTGTGAGTCAAACTGCGGATAATGAAGAGTGTGTGTCCGTATCCTCTGATGTGCTTCTTTTTAGTCCTCACATCAGTGAATGTGCATGTGTGTCTGTGGGGAGGCGGTAGGTGGGCCGGAGAATGTCAGAAATGTTGAGGAGTGCCATCAAAATGTTCTCTTGTGAGGACCCGAAAAACCCAAGAAAGAAAACCCAGGGAGCAGAAGGAATACTGTAGCCGGTAGTTGGGAACGAAGTAAGTTGTGAACGAGTGAAAGGAGTGATGGAGTGGGGAGAAGGAGTGAACAGACTCTCCATTCATTCCCTCAGCCTTTCAAACAACCCGGGGCTGCCATGGCAACCCCTTTATGCGTGTTCCCTAATTACCCTAACCCCTTACACATACCCTCATACACACAAGGACACACACACACACTCTTCTTAGACTGACAATCCCCTTCCCCCTTCCATGCATACCAACACAGTGAGCTCTCATCCAGTCACAGAGTGTTTTTCTGCAATGTTGCGAGTAAAACTTTGTACTCCGTGATTTTGCTCCGGTACTCACAGCGGGCACGAGAAGTTTCTTGACCTCGTTGATGGCTCGCTGGAGCTTGATCTTGGCGCGGTTGTGCGTGTCCTCCACAGTGATCAAGACGTGGAGGTCCTCGCTGAGGTGCTCCCAGTTGGGCTTCCCTCGGTTCATCTCCTCCTGAAAAGCACACAAATGTTTTAAACACCTTTGATTTGAATGCGCCACAGCCAGTCTCAGAACAGGATTTCTCTTCTCCTCTTCTTCTCACTTGGCTTGGTTTTTGGATCGCGCACAAACAAACACACAAAACACTCAAGGTTGTCTAACGCGGCTTTGGGGGGACACACTTGTCTCATGAAACGACCATGTTGTTCCTGAGTGGTTACACAAGATTGATGTTGCATTTTAGTGGACGTTCAGTACTCTGATTCTCTGTGTATTACTTCCCGAAACCTCCCATCTATGTAGTAGGCTGTGTACTCCAACAAGGTTCTAATGACCATTAGAAGAGACTCAAGCTCTCAGCTTCCCCGTGTAAATTAACAGTAGGCATGGGCTATTTTTCTGTATATTTAAGACATGTCTTAGTTCTGTTTTGCCAAAAAGCTCAATTAGGCTGCATTCACACCAACCTTGTTTATTCTGCTTTAATGAAACTCCAGATCATTTGCAGAGAAAGTCTAGTTCATTTGGGTAGGTGTGAATGCACAATCAAACTGATGTGGACAAAAAGCCAACTCTGGCCCACCTGAAAACCCAAACCTTGGTTCTGTTGAATGACTATGTGAATTCAAGCGGACCAGAGACCGTTCCAAAAGCAGGGAGCGAACTAATGTGTAGTACATTTTGGGTAAATACAAGCAAAACAAATGTGCAAGTCTCAGGAGAAATGTCCCATGGTCTTTTGTCAAAGACAGAAGGTAAATCCTGCAAATACTAAAATCTCATGCCATTCCACTTTGGTTTACATTTCGTAAAGAAGGAAGATGAGCTCAGTGTCTTCTTCAGAGGTTTTTGTGCTGTTTCCTTCAGTGGTTCTTGGTCCAGGCCTCCACAAGCAAGAGGGGGGACACGTTTCTCAAAGGGTTTGGTTTGTTTGGCATAATGCACTGTGAAAGTGAACTGTATTAGCTGAAAATGTAACAAATGTTGCAATTTTAGTCCCCAATCAAACCGAGTCCACTTGAGTTTCACAAGGTCCTCGCTTATCTGACCAACTCTAGGAAAATTATGCAATCCCAGAATGCTAGCTGATTGGAGGGATAGAGATACAGACATTTTTTATATTCTATTTTCATCCTCCCAACTTCTTATCCAGCTCTATTCCCTACCTTCCAGTCTTTTAAAGAGAGTTAGAGTCCTCCATTATCCATGCTTATTTCCAGTAAAAAACAACTAATAATTTGGCACATATCCGCACAAATGAACGATGACTTTCATGTGTCCAAGCGAGCAAGAAAAGATTAAACCACTTTAAAGTAAGCAAACACTTAGCATATCAGTTCAGATATGTTTCAGCTTTGTGGGACTTGTACCCAAAGTTTGGAAAGGATCCAGATGATAACAGCAAATAGGTCAACTGCCTCTGGTCGTTCGCAGATCCTGGTTAGTCGATGCTCTTTGGGAAATAAAGTGTATTTACATTCACAGCAGGGAGTTGAGGATTGCATCACAAATGGTGACTGAAGACATATGTGGAGACACATTCCAGCGCCAGGTGTAAACCTATGTACTCATAGCTGTCCACTTGTGATTGGATGACGAGAGATGATCAAAACCATCACCCTTAACCTCTGAAGATCACTCCACCCTCTATGAGGTTTATTTTTTATCGACTGGAAGATAGTGAAGAATGCAAGTGGGTCATAGCAGCCAGTTGTAGTTAAAGCAACGGCTGAAAATTGTGAATCTTGTATCTTTGCGTGGCCTTCTTGCAAACGGTTTCCTCTGAGGCTGTTTTGTCAAGTGAGATGTATCATTCTGAGGAACACTGAAAGTCAACATCTTTTTCTCCTCTTCCCCAGTTGCCTCCCACTGTGTCTCTGTTTTCCTTCCTCTCTCTCTCTGCATGTTTCTCTGTGTGTCTCCCTCTGAGGGGCGTGCAGGGTAGGGAATGTTCTGGAGAGAAGAAGAGAGCGAGCGAGCGAGAGAGACAGGGAGGGGGGCGGAGGTGGTGGAGGAATGCTGGACTTGCTCCACCTGCCGTTTGGAAGAGCTGGAGCCGACTCCGTCCAACAGCAGACACCAGGGGAGAGGAAGGGAGGACAGATGGACTGAACACCAGGACAGGAAAGCAAAACTCAGCCCAGAAGGAAAAACAAAGGGTCTTGCAAAAGTATTCACACCCTTTGAAGTCTTTTACATTTTGGTATGCTACAACCCCAACCATTATTGTGATTTTAAGTGTTAGGTAACTCACTGTATTACATAATTTCAAGGTGAAAATAAATGTTTTCCAAATAGAAATCTGAAAATTATGACATGCTGGGATGATGCATTCATCCCGTCTGAGGCAATACTTGCAGAGACGCTTATGTTGCATTTACAGCTTCTGGGGTTTGTCTCTTCCAGCTTTACACGTGTAGAAGCTGAGATTTCACCCTTCCTTTTTTGCAATCAGGTTGAATGGAAAGCATCTATAAAAATAAATGTTCAAGTTCATTCGCAGATTCCCAATTGGCTCTAGATGTAGACTTAGACTCGGCCATTCTGCCACGTGGAAATAATTTGATTTGACCCCTCAAAGACTTAAAACTTGACCAAAACTTGACACTTAAAGGCTAAAGACTTGACTTCAGCTGACCATGACAGACTAAGGCACTTTACCTGACCCTCAAAGAATTGAGAGCCGCCTTGGACTTGAACTGAAAAACTTGAGACTCAACTTGGACTTGCCACTCAAAAACTTTAAACTTGGCCTGGTCTTGATGTGAAAGACCTGAAATTTGGTGGAGTTGTCCCTTGATAACTTGTGAAGTTACTTAAACATAAGGCAAAACACTTGAAATCTGATTAACTTGAAACTTGACATGGTCTTTTCTATTAAAGACTAAAGGCTTGAAGTAAAGTTGCCCCTTTGAGAATTGAAACATGACTTTAACTTGTCAAAAAAAAGATGTAAAACTTCACTTGGTCATGCTGCTTGTAGAGAAAAGACACAATCTTGCTCCTCACAATTTGAAACTTGACATTGATTTGCTTTTCTCACAAGGATTGAGAGCTGGCTTTGATTTACCCCTTAAACTTGAGACTTCACTTGGACTTTTAACATATGGACCTGAGACTTAACGTGGGGTAAAAAACATGAGATAGGAACAGTTGGTCAACAAAGACTTGGGACCAGGCTTTGGCTTTCTCTTTATCGGCTTGACTTGGGGTGAAAGGTAAGTGACTTAATTTGGACGTCTCCCTTAAAGACTTAAATCTGACTTGAACTTTACCTTCGAAGACTTGACTTAGAAAAATGAACTTGTGAATATTGCTGTTCAACACTGATAGCTGTACACAGAAGGCTGGTAGCATGGTCAATCCCTAGCTTCATTGGTCCACTCTCTATTAGAACCAAAGTGTAAAAAATGTTTACACTGTGGTTCTATTAAAAATCTCTTCTCTTTCAACATTTCAATATTTGCCAAAAGAATCCCTAAACATTATTGAGGCAAAGAAATCTGTCCTGTACAGTGGACCCCCAAGTATTCACGGTTCAGTTTTTGAGGATTTATCTGTGGAACATAACTACAAATTCCTTGTTGAAAATTGTGCCTATTAGTGAAAGTTTTGTCATAGAGGAAAATATTCAAAATATTCAAAAGAAAATGCATCTATGGAAGTAAAAATACCAAGGCACATTGCTACTTCTCACAAGCAGCCAGTCCAGGAAATTTGTTAATTTTCCTTGATTAGCTGCCCATACAAGAGCGGAATATGGAAGACTGTAGATATTAGTCTTTGTAGCATAAAGTTGTTACGCAAACAGTTTTTCCACCTGCTGATGATTCATTGGTACAGCATTAAAGATGAAGATTATTTTCTTTAAACTCAAGTCAGCAACATGCAGAATAGAGTACCAATTGCCTAAGTGTGACATACATAAAGAAAATATAGGTACAGGTTTGCTAACATAACTGTTTTAGATCCAACATATAATGATTTTCAAAATTACCTCCATTTATGCATACATGCACATGTCTATAACCTTTCACTTCTTTTAGTAAAAATATCTAATTTAATAGTCAATCAGATGTGATACCTTTAATGCAAGTAAAAAACTATATTCCTGTATTTAAGCTACTCGATGGTCAGAGCTGACAGACCAACGAGTCGGCTCGTTGGTCTGTCCAATAACTGTATGTACATTGGAAGGAGAAAGTGTAGACCTTCAGTGTTTTTTTAAATGCTTACCTTCTTCTTGTCTCTCATGGAGCCCTTTCCTCGCACCATAATCTTGCAGCCGGTCTCCGCCTCTAGCTGCTTGGCTGTCAGGCCACGTGGGCCCAGGATCCTTCCTACAAAATTGAACTACACAAAAAGAGTAAAAAAAAAAAAAAAATTACAAAATGAACAAGACTGCATGAGAAAAGTAGAGCTACGTTAATAATACCCCTCAGAGCAAAATTGTTTGTTTTTTAATGCATGAATTAGTACAACGATATCTTTTAAGTTTGTGGAGCTGTAAAGTGTTTGTGTTAGTAGGAGAGACAAAAATAGCTCATTATATGTGTGCTGGCTGGTGTTGGAGGCCTGACAGGACACCGTCGTTCTCTTACCCTTATCTGTCACTATGGCTGAGTGATTAACTTGACAGGTGCCCCTCTGTGTGTGTGTGTGTTACTTCTTTCCCAATAACCCTATGTCTCTGTTGGCTTCTTTCATAACAATTGGTCGGCCTTGTCCCGCTTTAATTTTTCTGTCATATTCTCTCAATGTGTTCTGAGGTTTACTTAGGTACTCATTCCGATCCCGTCTGCTCACCGCAATACACTGATCCAGACAGAGGAACTGCTCACTAAATTTAACCTTGATGTCAACGTTTTTCCAAAGCACTCCTGCGTGCGTCCTGTTAGCCTGCCGTCATGTGAATCAGGACAGCCCGGCATTGTGGCGGGTGATTGGCGAGCTGATGCGTGGAGAAAATCATGTGAGCCACGCAATGTGGATCAACCAGCTCATACTGAAATCCCTACAGTGCTGTGAAAAAGTATTTGCCCCTTCACAGGTTTCTTCTGATTTTGCTTTTTATACATTACAATTAGATGTTTCAGATCATCAAAATAATTGTATTATCAGAGAAATATAACAAGATTTATTAGAACAAAAAAAAAAAACATTTTCTGATGATTATTTAATTTTTGAAGGAAGAAAAAGCTATCCTAACTAATCTGGTAAAAAAAAAAGTAATTGCACCTAAATGTCAGCAGCAACAGCTACCATTAATTATAATAACTTGCAATGAGTCTTTTACATTGCTGTAGAAGAATTTTGTTCCATTCTTCTTGACATTATTGTTTTAATTCAGCCCCAATATGACTGTTTTGATCAAGTCATATTCAATCAGTTATTAGAATATACATCCAAATGAGTCTCATTTGTCAGATTAACCAAACAATTTAAAAACAGCAGCCCATAAGCAGGTGTTATACATACTTTTCATTAAGCCCACATTTCTGTTTTTGTACAATGACTTTTTTTATTGGTCTGAAATAATTTTCTAATTTTAGATATCATGTTTTCATTAGCAGTAGGAGGAAAATCAGAACGATGAACAGAAATAAAAGTTTTCAAACATCCACATGTGTGCAATTAATCAATACAATCTGTTTCACTTGGTAATAAAGTTCCTAAAATAAATGGGCTTTTCAATAATATTCTAAATTATTGAATGGGTCTGTAAATTAAATCCAGGCTTTGACTGGGCCACTCCCAAAGTAAATTTCGTTCAGTTTGAGCGTTACTAATTACCACTAGTTTATATAAAAAAAAAAAAACACTATAAAACAACAGTAGCTGTGAGAAAGTGCTGTACATATAAAAATCAATAAACATTCAAAATATAAAAATATAAATAGAGCTGATGGCTTCATCAAATACAGCAAGTGATCCATGTCCAAAAGATGCAAATGTACCCACAGTCATACAATCATCATCATCTTTGACTTTTGGGTTGATGTTTTCTTTTCGTTGAAAAGCTGAGTGAGATGTTTTTACCTACTTCATGATGTCAAACAGGTTCTATCTACGTAATTTCTCAACTCTACAGGCCTGGCAATAATCAGGCAAAATTTTGTTGGAGAAACTGAACCAAATGTGGTTAATAACACATTCATGATTTAATAAGGTGGCAACTACTTTTTCACATAGGGCCAGGTCCATTCGAATTGGTTTTCCCCTTAATAAATAAAATCATTGTTTAAAACTTGGTTTTTATATTTACCTGAGGTTGAATTTTACATTAAAATTAGTTTGATGATCCCAAATATTTAAGTGTGATAAATAACCAAAATCAGAATGAAACTGTAAGGGAGCAAATACTCTTTTAAAGCACTTATACGTTGTTGCATTGCAGTTTAAAGTAACACAATTCGGATTACTTTTTTTTTTTTCAATAAAACACCTTGTGTTAACCTTAATCTCACAAATTATTTTATTTTATTAAATCTAATCCCAGTAGAGTCACTGGTCCTGATGCATTATTGACCCATTTAGCTCTAGATTACATCACTGGGTGTGAGCACAGATGATCTCAGAATGAAATCAGCTTTTAGATAAAATTTAAAGTAAAATGTCCCCATGATTAACAGCCTCGCTGGCTGTCTGGCACTCTTTCTGTAGCTTAGAAAGGATAAAGAGACAACAGACCAAAGTAAACAGAAGCTCTTCTAAAAAAAAAAAAAAAAAATGGGGCAAAGGTCTCAGATTTTTGTCCACTCACATCGGGGTACTCTTTGACAGGCACGTAGAGCTTCTCCTGCAGCTGAGCAACAGGTCCGATGGCCTCAGGGAGCTCCTCCATGTCCCGCCCGTTGAACATGCCACCATTTAGCGTGTCGTTGTACATGTCTTTGCGCACCCTGCCGATCTCTTTGAGACAAAAGGTCAGAAAAAAAAAGAGGTTACGTTGAGTGAACTGAAGAGGTTTCACATTTCTTTCATCAGACTGTCCGCTGCTGAGGACGATGACTCACTGTCACCAGTATTAAAGGAAGCGCTGAGTATGACAGCTGAAAGACATACAGGAAGACAATCATAAGTACTCTGCACCACCATGTAGAATCTGACTGCTTTATGCTTCACAATTAACCCTGCAGCATTGCAGCTAATTTCCCTCCTCTTCCGTTTTTTTTCTCTCTTTAACTCTAACACACAGGATATTAACCCTGATACTCTGTAAACAATGTGAGAAAAAAAAAAAACATTAACTGCAATTTTTTTTCATTTTCTTTACTGTTTATTCACTGTTTATTCATAGAACTTCATGGTGACATCTAGGTGTTAGGTATTTGACATATTTTGTGGTGTTTATATTTCAATACCATAAGAAAAAGTATTCAAAGCTGTCGCTGCAAACAGTCAGAGCCACACAAAACAAACACAGTTCTAAAAATACAACATACTCAGTAGAAAGCCTACTGCTCTACCACAGTTACCCCATTGGTGCTGCTGAACAGTACAAAGTAACAGCATTTAATCTTACTTTTGAATGTAAACACAACATTTGCTGATAGATATGAACCAATCAGGTTTTTGTCAAGCCAATACCAATACAATTTTTCCTTTGCAGCCTGACCTGCTGCTCCCGACTTTGATCGATTCTGTGAAATATTTTAAAAAGAGAGCTGCAGGTTAGTATTTGCAGATTTGTCTGTGGGACATAATGGCAAATTACTTGTGGCAAATTCTCCAATTGCTAATGTATGATTTACTTTAATCGTAGTAAATCATACAGAAAATTAAGGAGTTACTGGATTGGTCCACCAACTGACTTTCACTGAACTAAAAAAAAAAAATGCAACCAAGTATATAAGTTACCACAAATTAAGGTTTTAAAACCTATTTTTCCATTAGTTCAAATATCCTTTTAATGAAATGCTACAAGTAGAAAGGTTTTTATTTTTCATGCTGTTTGGAAAGCATCACAATAACCGAGTATCCTATATTTTAAACACAGTGCATCGATCAAAATAAAAAAATATTATAGGTAACATTTCTCATAACTATACAGTGTACAGTGACCACAGGCCTGTTTGTGGTTCAGTATTTGCAGATTTGTCTGTGGGACATAATGGCAAATTACTTGTGGCAAATTCTCCAATTGCTAATTTCTTTTCAAAAATATTTGAAAGAAAATATTTGAGAAGCTGAAACACCAAGGTGCGATACACCAGGAGCACCATTAATTTCCCTTGGTGCTGACTGTCTGTATCCCCAAATAAGTAAATACTTTAGCTATTGTCTTCCACCTGTATCGTTTATTAGGGCATAACTGAAGTTTGAATAATAAAAATGGGTAGTTATTTGTGTTTTCAGATGGGGGTTTAAGTATTTGGCTATAGTCCGAATAATAAATAACAAACAAACAAAAACAAAAATCAATGCCTATCTATCACCAAACTGATTTGATCTCTGGTTGACTGATCAGTGCATTGTGCATTTCAATGCCTTGATAATCTCACAGAGCTGAGAACGTATTAACAGTTCAAAAAGTAACAACTGAAACAATTGTAACTGTTTTTCTGGTTTGCAGACATCACAAAATACTGATAAGTGTAGCTGTTTTCACAAAACGTGCCTCCTGTTAATGCTAAACGACATGGTTATTGCAATCCTTACTGAATGTCTATACAGGTATCTGCTCACAAACAGGAGTATGCCTACCTTGAAGAATACTACCAAGGTTTCACAGCATTGCTCTATAAGGTGGATATAATTCCTGCATGCAGCTAAAATAACACACAATATAATAGTAATATTTTTGTCTTTATGCAACAATATTACTAGATTAGATTTAGGAATATTACATGCTTATATCAACTGGTTAAGTAGCCGGACTAGCCACTATGCCTGAGAGAAAAGTGTAGTAGACTTCTTTTACTCAGCTGGTATAAGCAGTTCAGCAACATGTGGGGGAGGAGCAGTATCACTCCACACTGAGAGCAACTCTGGTCACTTCTTCTTATATGTTGTCAAGCAAATTTTAATCCATATGAAGGTTATGACTGAAATTTGCACCTTCCAACTTTAAGGCTAATATTTTGGTTTTTTTTATTTCAATGAAACTTAATTGTAATTTGCTCTAAATTTCAAAGTAAAACCTATTTTAACGTAAAACCGTGCTTCCTCAGCGATCAAGTCGGTGGCTCGAGTTTGCGGCAGTTGCACCAGCCTAAACGAGACTTATTTTTGTCCGTCTGTGCGTTTTGTTTACGGTCGTCTCAAGGACCGATGCTTGCCCCTGATACCTTTCTAATGACACTCCAGCGCAATAATAACTGACTACAGCACCGCACAAACACACACAGCAGAATAGCTGCCTTGGGTCGCAAATATCATCTGACCTAAGCAGGCTGACACCAGGCATGTCTCCCGCCTCTCTGAGTGATAAGCCTGACCATAATAACTATGGTATGACACTATAATTAAAGCCAGAGCCACAGTCACAACGATGATCCTCTAATAACCTATTCAGACCTGTCCCTAGTGAAAAAAAAGCAAACAAGAAAAAACAGCTATTAAAACACAACCTCAGGCCTAAAAATCTGCACAGGAAAGCAAGGTCTGCTGTCACCCTTGAGTTAAAAGTAGCTACAGGAAAACAAGAAGTGAAAGAAGAACAAGAGAGTCGGTCGAAGGAGCGAACAATAAAGGAGTAGCAGAGGGGCCAACAGCAACAAACTTTATCTCTACACTTAACCTGTCCGTGGATTAAATATTGAAGCGAAAAGTGCTCTATTATTAACAACACCACACATAAACTTTAGTCTTTTTGCGCACAGATCTCATCCCTGAAGACAAAGCCATTTATACTGACCACGGGTGTCGCATTATCACGTGTGAGGGGTGAACATGCTCAGCTGTCAGTCCTCAAAGGCACGAAGCTGACCTATTTGTTGGGTTGTAGAGGTCGTCTGGCTATGGGAGTGACTCTGCTGTGTCATGAGACTTGTCACGGAGCACCAAGTCGGAGCCACTACGATCCAGATGTGCACCAACAGGCCTGTAAGTGGCCTGTAGCGACCATTCAAAAAGGGGAGTACACACTAAAACACAAGGACAGCTTGGGATTTGGGGTTACAAAGATATATGTATCTGTGTGTGTGTGTGTGTGTGTGATAGTGTGTGCAGCTACATCTGGCGAGATGCGGTGGATATCAACAAGTGGACTGTATCGGCAAGCTGTGCACGCAACATGACTCGAGGTCTTGTAAGAAGCTACAAATCAAATATTTTACACGTTCACATGCTCTCGTTCCTGCACAGGGATGGGCTGCAGCATTCACATAAGCCTGCTCATTAGGTCACTGGGAAAGACTAACAACTGTCTGTTTGTTCCCGTCACTGTGTGTGTGTGTGTGTGTGTGTGTGTGTGTGTGTGTGTGTGTGTGTGTGTGCGTGTGTGTGTGTGTGTGTGTGTTGAAGAGAGAGAGACAGAGAGAAAGCAAAAGAGAGAGCAAGAGAGAAGAGAGAGAGAGAGTGATATGCTGTTCTTTTCAGTGTATCAGAAATCTCGCTTAAGATACAGGTTTGCAAAACTATATGCATGCTTTGAATGAAAACAGTCAGGAGACAACTGATAGCTTATCACTGGGATCAGTTTTTGGGTTCAACTCTGCTGCTTCCAAGGATTCAGGGAGGAATCCTGATAAAGACCATTCAGTAAGCTCAATTACTTTTAGGATAAAATATTTCTGAACAGAAGTACTTCATTAATCCCACTCTGGGAACAGGCAAATATTAAGAACAGCAGTTAACAAAATGTGAAGGTGGTAATTTGTATACATAAACATGTTGATGGATGTACTGTAAAAAAATTGTGAAATGTGTTCAAAATAGAAATTAACCAATCATTCTTATCGTGGCTAATACCAATTTTAGATGTTGTTTGAGGTCTGACTTGCTGATTGACACTTCAAATACTGCCCTGCAACTGTTTCTACAGTCTGAAAGTCAGAGAAAGCGTCAGAGTGACCGAGACTTTCTCAGAGCATACGGAGAGTATAGTAATGCAGCGTTTCCCCTCCCCCACATGTTTCTGGGCACTACTGGTCAGCTAGCGGAAAGGCTTGAAAACTTTTTTCCTTGCAAAATACAAAATACAAATGTAGTTGTCTCGCTAGGGTGTTTACTTGTATTTTGTAAAACAATGCATAAATATATGCATTGAAATCAAAACAAATGTTATGAGGTAACATTATGGCAACTTTAATAACTATTATGTTATAATATTTTGGCAGCAGTGGGGAAAATTGTTGCCAAAGCTCAGCTAAGTCCATATATTTAAGCTACAGATGGACCAATCGGGTTTCTACTTGTCTATACCATTTTGTGTGTGAGTCTGCATAAGTTTGATTTTTGTGTGTTTTTCTTGTTAGAAAGAACAGCTACACATAAAAGTGTTAAAACTGTGCTATGGATCCTTCGATTGACTTAGTAGGTTTGGAACCAATAGAAAACGAACAACAAGATCCCTATTTATACATCAAGACACACGCCCCTAAACTTTATTTTTAAATAAAAAATTAAGTTAAAGTGCATGCTATTATGTGATGCAATATTAGAAAAATGGTTGGAGTTCTTAGTTTTGCTACATTTAATTAATAGAAACTCAAACGTAGGATTTTTGGCTTTGATCTGCTAATAACAGAACAGAAGAGGTCAGGTGAAAATTGTCCGATTCCGATCTGTGATTGATTGATTTGTTGGTGCAGCTCTAGTTTTCATGGAAGTGATGGGTTTGATCTGTGGCAACGCTGCTCAGGGCACACTTACCTTCATCCAGCAGCCGCTCCAGATGCGTGAAGATGCCGCTGAAGTTGGGCAGGGAGCTCATCACCTTCCGGTCGTTCATCAGCTGCATCAGATAGTCCGGGTTGGACTTGGGTCTTTCCTTCACCTCTGTCTCCCCGACCATGGCTTTTGATTCGGGTGACCTAGCTAGCAGGGAAATCTTATCAACTTTTCTTTTAAATAAAAAGCGACGATCCCAGGGGAGGGAAGGGGGGTTCCACCAGCCACGACCAGCACACCACCGGATCAGACTCAACTCTCAGCTCCGGGTACAGCGGACTGTCCTTCGGTTCGTGAGTCCTGTCCTCTTCAACGGTTCTCCCCCCCAACCCCTCCGCTCGGCTCTCTCCAGAGTTTTGAAAAAGTTAAGGGGGGAGTTTGGCACTTGTTTGACACTTCGGCCGCCTCCGCATGCACTCCTTCTGCTACAGAGCTACCATCAACTGGTGTCCTCCACCCCGGCACCTTCGCTCGTGTCCGCCCGGTGTGTCGGTATTCGGCAGCGGGGACCGACTCCCTGTCATATGATTACAGTACAACACTAGAGGACTGCGGCGAGCGCGCCGCGCGTCGCCGATATCAGAGGGAGAGGGAAGGAGGAGGGGGCTCGCGCACTTCGGCTTGCCCCCGCCCCGCCCAGCGCCTCATTTTCTGTCGCGCGCTCACGCACGCGGACACCCCACACTGTCTGTAAAAAAGCCCATAACAATATAACCGGCCAGTGAAGGTATGTCCACCTGTTCTGCAGCAGGCGCTGCCTGTCACTTTTATTTTTTATTTTTATTTTTATTTTTATAAAACTTAGGGACATTCAGGTACCAGAAACTGTGACATTAGGGGTTGATTTAGCTCCTACAGCTTTAGATCTTAATCATTTTATGATTACAACATTAGTGCAATTTGGTACTGAAGTGTGAATATCAATTGAACAACGTTATATTTTCAATGTTACAACCACAAATTTAACAATTAAAAAATATATCTACAAATTAAATCTGAAAAGTGTGGCGTATGGCCTCCCTCATATTCTCTAATGGATTAAGGACTGAACTTTGACTGTGCCATTCGGAAATATGAACATGATTTGATCTAAAAGTCAGCACCCATTCTATTGTAGCCTTATCTTGTACATCTAGGGCTATTGTCCTGCTAGAAGGTGAAGCTTTACCCCAGTCTCAATTATGTTGCAGCCCACACATACTGTCTTTAGCTCCATTTAACTTCCCACAGAATGATGCTGCCGCCACCATGCTTCACTCCGGTGAATAGTGTGTTCAGGGTGTTGTGAAGAATTTAGTTTTTCGTCAGTTTTACACCATGTAGTTTTGTTGGGGTTATTTTTTTTCATGTAAAGCTAAAAAGGTCCGTTTTGACTAGTACTTTTTTTTACTATTTCTGTAAGTCATCTCTTGCTCTGAATTTTATTTGTCACAGTAGAGATGTCTGAATTAAAAAAAAATACAGCATTTCTCCCATTTTAGTCTGTAAAAATAAAAAAGAAGAAGAGTAGAGAAAAGCTAACTACCATGCTTCCTTTTCCTGCCATGTTCAACTTATGCACTACTTAGTGTTGGTCCATCAAACAAGGCTTGCAGTTGTGTGACAAAATATGCAAATCTCAATCAATGAATACAAATGCATTTTGTTTTAATACATTTGTAGGTTAAATTCACAAAGACATTTGCAGAAACAATATTTAAATTTTACAAATTTAGATGCAATCAAATAAATCAACAAAACATAAAGCACCAAAAATTATGTCCTGTTAGAAAAAAGACAAATTATCCCACCTATCAATTTTGAGTCAAAAATTGTGTTCAGTCAGAAAAATAAGGTCTGTGTAAGATTATTTGTTTGGTTTTTTATACTTCTTTGACTTGAATAACAAATAAAATATTAAATTTAAAAGTTTGTGGGAAATATTAAAGTATCTGTGTCCACAAATTTTGTAAGATTTGTCCCCTTTAGGTAAGGATTTGATGCTGAAAGATTTCTGATTGAAGTTGAATAACATGGAGTTGAAGATTTCCACAAATTTTGAGATTTTATTAGAGATTTTAGAGATTTTATTTTTCCAGACCAAGAAAATTTTTCTTCTGAGAAAAAAGTGGAAAAATCAACAAAAAAAATTATTTTATAGTAATAGTTTAATCCATTCTTACTAATTGGTTGTTAAATATCTTATTTCTTCAGCTTTTATAAAATTAATAAATCAGAACTTTAACCAGGATGACTTAGATGTAACTATCTATGTAGAGCAGAGAGCTCTACATAGATAGATCTACCGTAAATAAATCAGCGGTGGAATGACACTTGAAGCAGCAGCTCCACGTCATAAAAAGTTTTACTGTGTAGATGTCCTTTTTTAATCTTTACTGGGATTCCTGTTGATGTGAAATTTAAACGTGGTATTGCTCACAGTTGTCTTGCTGGTTTGTGATCCTGTTTGGCTGAAGAACTCCTTTTCTCCACAGCCTCCATTATGAGAGCATTTGTCCAGGATCCTGAAATAATACGACGGTGTTAGAGTTTGTGTTTGTTTTCTCTGGGTGGCTGCTGCAGTCTCTGGGCTGCAGAAATGTTGCTGCTGAAGGGGCAGATAGATGCAAGGGTCTAAACTTAACTTGCTGCAAGTTACACACACACGCGCACACACCCACACACGCGCGCACACACACAGAGAGAGAAGAAGAAGAAGAAGTGCAGTGTTGAAACAATTTCAGTGTATGCATTGGATTAACCTTTTTATCATTCACTGCTGTGCCTCCCACTAGGTTTCAATCCCTTGTCCAGTGTTTGACTCAGAGCATTTCAGCTTGTAAGACTAAACTTATCCTGGAGGTCATCTGCGTGTGTTCGTGTGTATGCGTGTGTGTGTGCGTGTGTGTGTATGTGTCAGAGCAGTAGGAACGGTAACAGGACAGCAGAGCTGGTAATGGCTGGTCAGCTGGTATGGCGAGTATTCGGGGCGGGGGCAGTGCATTGTCCTCTCATAGCTCCAACAATGCCCTTCTGAGCGGGCCACACATCTACCAGTCACGGGCCTCTCTTTCCCCTCTCTCCCTCTTGCTGTTCTCTCTGTCTGCCATGGTCACTGTAAAGTGAGGCGTGTGAGCTGCGTTCCCCAAACCTCCGCCTGAGACCTCCAAGGAAGCACCTGACACACTTCAGATCACGCCCTGGATGTTTATTTGCCCCCTGAATTATTGATGCATATTCATTTGTGTTCCCATTTTCTGCGTGGCTTACAAAATGTTCATATTTTGTCGTGTTTCAGCCACAGACTTCAAAGGGGTTTTATTGGGATTTTATAGACCAGACCAACACAAAATGCTGCCCACAATATGTTTTGCTGCAGGCTAACACACTTTTAAGCCTCACACCAAAAAAGTTCAGTTGGATCTCGAATGACTTTTGGCTAACTTTAAGCGTGACATCTTTCAGCATTGTTTTACTGAAACTCTGCAGCTCCTCCAGTGTCACCATGGACCTCTTGGTTGTTTGTCTAATTAATGTTCTCCTTGCTCAGCCTTTCCGTCTAGCTGGATGGTGATATCTTGGTAGGTTTATGGTTATGCCATACTATTTTTCTCTTAGATGTTGGACTGATCATTGTTCAATGAGTTGTTCATTGCTTGGCATAGTGTTTTACAACAACCCTGCATTAAACTTCTTCAAAACAATTATCCCTGATCTTTCTGCTTCCTTCCTTAGTCTTCATGATGTGGTTTCTTCACTGATGTTCTCTAACAAACCTCTGAGGCCTTCACACAAGAGCTGAATATATACTGAGATTAAATCAAATCACACACCGGTGGACTCTATCCACTAAATAAGAGACTTCTAAATGTAATTTAACTGTCTTGATTTTATTTAGAGGTAACAAAAGGAAGAGAGCTAAAACATGCATATCACATTTTTCAAGTTGATATTAATAATAAAATAAAAGCATGTTTGCTTTTCCTCACTTCACAGTTATGTAACACTTTGTGTTTGTCTGTGATATAAAATGCATAGTTCAAAGTGGATGAATACTTCTAGACCGGAGGGTTAAAATAAAATTCTGTCAGTTAATTTAAAGAATGGAGGTAAAAAAAAAAAAACAAAAAAAAAAAAACATAATAAATAAATCCGATGTCAATTTGTTACTACCCTGAAAAGAGCGCTAATTTTCTGTGAAATATTTCTAAAGTATTTCATCATTCATTTGCATTTTGTCTTTCCTGTCTTTTAGGTGAGATGAGATTTACTTCCTTTTACTTAGAATGTTTTTTTTTTGACATTTTAAAATGCATCTTATAAAAAATGTACATTAATATTGAATAAATAACCAGATAATTATGTATTTTGTAGATATTTTATCAAGATATAATTGATCAATTATGTCTGGAGTCATTATAATTATTATTAAAATTGTCAGAGTGAATCTTTTTTACCCCTCAAAGAACTGAATTTAAATGCTAATCAACAGATTAGTCTTCTGTGAAAGATTTTTTTATTATTATTATTATTTGAAGTTTTTTTTTTATCATCCAACAAAAAGTGATAAAAGTCTATTATATCTGATAAGGGTTAGCTATAAATATTTTATGAGTGTGTAAGGAGCCGTCAGGTTACATCATGATGAAAACACGCCCCCTTGTGGCTTCTGATGTGACTGAATCAGCTCTGACTGGATCTTCCATCTAAACAAACAATCAACACTCCCAAATGTTTCACAAAGGAGATATGTTCGAGTCTTGGAGGGTCAATTAATTAGATTTGCAGTGATGTGACCATAGCTTTAAAAAGGGAAAACACAAATTAGACCTCTTATAGTGTATGGTAAATAAGCCTATAAAATTACATGCACTTATACATGAACGAATGTCAAATGGAGTTATAAATGTAATTTAATTTGGACTTTTATTGATTCCTTTGAACTTTTACTTTGGTAAAGGTGAGGGTTAAAGTGGATCCGCAGCTGTTAGCTCTCTGTAGATCCACTTTAACAATGTGAAGAAAGTTGGATCTTAGGAAGCACAGATTAAAACAGAAGTTCATGACTTTTGCAAAGTACTGTAAATTACATCAATTAGTCTTGAAAGCATTACAAAAGATTTTCTAAAGCTTTAGGACTCTAGTGAACCACAGTAGAAACCATTATGCACAAAATCTTGATGGTCCCAAAGACTTTGGGAAAATTAGTTTCTGGACGTCTGATACACAAATGTAAGGTTTTGGAAGGTATGCAACCTGTAACATCTGGAATATAACTAACCGTGTTTCACAAAAAGATCATGCTAACAACAAAGCACGATGGTGGTAGTGTGATGGTCTGGGCATGATTTGCTGTTTTAGAACCTGGATTAACAGAATGATTAATTCTGTTCTGGAGATTTTCCGGACTTCACTTTTTGCCCTTAAGCTCAAGCACAGCTCCAGTACATAGCAGGACAGTGATCCAAGTGACAGTGATCCATGGCTAAAAATTAACAACACATTATTAAGGTTTGGGAGTGGTCTAGTCAAAGTAATGCCCTTAAACAGGACATTCATGCTTAAAACCCTCCAAAAGAGGCTGAATTAAATCA